AGTTCCATTCCAAGAATGGTACAAAGTCCATACCAGAATTTTTATAACTCAAAGTGAACTATATAGAACACTCCAGAGTTGATAAGCAACTTCCTTGGACTGAAAACAAGAAAGACAGGAAAAATGTATACAAGCAGGTAAGCATTGTTCCCAGTAGTTATTTATTAAATATCTCAACAGGCCTATTATCTTCTTTCAATTACAACAAGGGACATTACTTGCATATTTTATTTACAGTGGATAATTTATGTTTAAACTTTTCTAGAAAATAGAACTCAGGGGAATTTAAGTAGGTCTCTAAAATAAGGAGTTCAGATGATTCTGGGCCTGAGAGTCCAGTATGGTTATTTCTACTTAATTAGACCAGTAATTAAGAAACAGATGAATTTAAGTCCCATTTTGGCTTAAAATCTGTATCAATATAAGCACACATGTAGGTACACATGTGTGCAGATCTCACAATCTTGTTGTCACTTTTGGAACTGGTAAGATACTGCTGGTGTGTTGCCCACATGCCCACGACCTGCCCCAGAAGTCACCTGCAAACAATTCCCTGTTAGGCAAAAAACTTCTTCCTCACAGGTGCCCATTTTCTGTTCAAGAGCAAACCTACACCCTCCCTGCTCTCTGGTCTCAGCAACTTCATTTCCTGTTCATTCTTGACTAGGTTTCTGTCCACATGTACGTTACTTAATTATCTCCTTACCCTCTGTGGATCTTGTCTTCTTTGGAAATCTAATACCAAAGGAATAACCCTCTAACTCTTTACTCTTCCACTTATCAAACTCTCACCTATGCACAGCCATAGTTCTCCTCACAGGGGTTCTTTCTGGTGTGATATCCCACAATCCATTACAGCAACCAATGTGATCTTTTAAAAACATAAATCATGCTAGTGTTTTGCTTAAAATTTTCCAATGGCTTCACCTTGCCCTTGAAGTCCAAACACCTCACCGTAGCCTGATACCCCATGGTATCTGTCGTCTGCCTGCCTCCTTGATTTCATCTCATACCATTCTCCCCCTCACCCACTCTACTCTAGCCACTCTGTTTTCAACACACATCACATCAGCCAAAGGGCTCTTGCACTTAATGATATACTCCAGCTAGATGCCTCCCTACAAATTTTTGCATAGTTGGCTCTTTCTTGTTATTCAAATTTCAACTCAACTGTCACCCCTTTAAAAAGAACTTCCCTGGGTTGTTTATTCTTGATCACATTTTCTTACTTAATTTTCTTTGCTGCAATAATCATTGGAATTGTCTCTGTGAAACTTTTATCTCACTCCTGAGGATCTAAGTTCCATGATAGCAGGGGTCTTACCTGTTGTATTCACATGAAATTCCTTCTGCCTAGAATTTAGTGGTGCTTATACTCAAGAAATCTTTAATAGATTATCATTACACAAAATATTATATGCTGGTCACTAAAGATTACTGTAAAATCTTCCTCCATGCCTGTTAACATTAAAGAGAATGATACAATATACATTTTCCATAAAAAATTATGTGAATTGATTCTTGACTAATGAATCAATCCTAATGGGAACAAAAACACATTTCAGGGGACAGTACCAATATTCCTCTTCAAGAAAAGTTGCTGGTACACTGGTACCATAATCAAAGTAATGGTAGTTGTACATAATAAACAAGAACAGTGAATTTTTATTTACACTAACTTTTCAGACTTCAAATAGATATTACCAAATAACACCACACACTAAATTTAAAACTGAATGTTTTGGTGTCCATAATATCAGTAACTGTAATTAATATCAGAGTCCAAAATGTTTTTTAATCTCAAATTGGTCTTTGAATGTCAAACTCTAAAATCTCTATTATCTTTTGCTTATGTCATAATGAATTATTCCCCTTGTTTGAAATTTTTCATATTTTGTTAGAGTACCACCTCCAAATAATTACTCATAATTTTAACATTGAAAGATGTTTTTTCTAATCAGGAAGTAAGAATTAGCAGAACTTCTCTGCTTTGTTTTTAGTCTCTCTTGCAGAAAGCTCCTCTGAGTCTTGATGTTTCAAAGTAAAACCCTTCCTGAACCCACTAGATAGGAAACTTTTAGTGCCTGTTTCTAACTGCTCATGGGTGAGGGCCATCACAGAAAATAAGTAACAATGGGAACTGAACAGGGGCTGATAGAATTGTTGCTGCTGTTTGGACTTACTTTTAAATTTTATTTCTCCACAACTATTTTATGGGGCTCATTATAGCGAGTAATACATATGATGAATTGAAGAGAAGTACAAATTTCACTTAACTTCATAACAATCCATTTGGACTTCATATTTATTTGAAAGTAGAATAAGGTAAATTTATTAGATTTTACTTTAGTCACTGTCACCCTACCCCAATACACACACACACACACACACACACACACACACACACACTATACGTAGGACTGCCCAGAAACCTGAAATCCATCTAGTGTTTTTCTTTCCTGTAAAGAAACATTGGTTGGCGATATGATACTTGCAGTATAAGTCATTACAGGTCTGATGTTACAGTTGTTACACATTATTGAATCTATCCAATGAAAAAGGAACACAAAGGGAATTTCCAAATGCAGCTGCTATTTCCCATTTGTTAAATCCTTTTATTATACCATATAAGTACACAGCTGGGAAATACTATAGAGTGGGAGTTAAAACTAAATATTTTGGCTTCCAGACATTCAGAATACACAAAGGCTCCAGTGGAAAGCAATGCTTGATATCAAAAGAAAGTGAAAGTTTGACAACATTTCCAGCAAGTATGATTTCATTTATACTAATATGTAACACACTTGTAAACTTAAACTATTTCCAACTACCATGAATCCCACTTCATATGAATTTGGCAAGCAAGTCATTAATACCTATTTTCTGACAAAATTTTAGATCATAAAACTTTGAGAATAACTCACTGGAGCTATTTGGTACTTGCCAAGATACAAACAAAATTTTACTAAAAAAAATAAGTATTCTCTAAAGAAGTAAAATTATTTCCTCCTCAACCTGTATTTTCCAGTTTAGTTATTTTTATTTATCTATGACCATATTTGGCAAAAAAGCCAAAATATATCTTGAACTCATCCTCCCCCCCTTTATCCCATCTGCCTCTACATTAATCCAAGCCACTGTCATCTCTTACCTGGACTTCTGAAATAGCCTCCCAATAGTTCTTCCTCCTTGCACTCTGTCTTCCTCCCATCCATTCATACTACAGCTAGAATTAACTGTCTGAAGTATCCTTATACCCTTCAATGGCTTTCCATTGCACTTAGAATCAAATCTCACTTCCATGATGTTATCCACAAGGTCTGGCTAGATATGGTCCCTCTTTGTCTCTCCAACCATACCTCATGCTGCCCTGCATACTCACTCATTACACTCCAGCCGCAAAGACTATCTTTCACTTCCTGAAACTCACCTATATTTTTCCCACCTCAAATATTTCACACATGTTCCTTCTATTTTTTACTCTCTCTTCAATTTTTTGCTAAGGTTTCTAATGTCAACATTATATTCACACATACCATTATATTCATACATACCATGTATTTTCTCCCTAATACATATCACAATTTCAATTATATATTTATGTGTGTATATTTACTTAATTTCTGTTCCCTCTACTGAATGTAAGCTCCATGAAGGCATAATCATGCATGTTTTATTCACCACTCTACTTCCAGCACCTAGTAAAATGCTGGACCCAGAGAATATTCAGAGCCCAATTATCTTGCCAAAAAGCCAGTGGTAGTGACCAGATATCTATTTCACCCTATGGTCTTGGAGGTATAAAATGAACCACTAAGTTCAATCAGAAAAACAGACAGACTTTTGTCTTCCTTTATTATATTCTCTCTCTTCTCCCTGTGCAAGGAAAATAAACCTTCCAGGTGATCTATCTAATTGTATAATTATGATCCACTTTGAACCTAAAGTTAGTCTATAGAAGTCTTACTTTTCTTCCAGTCCCTTGCTTCTCACCTGCTGCTATAGAACACTAGGTATATCTGCAAAATCAGATGAAAAAGAAAAAAATGTCTGCCTCCATAAATTAGGGAATTAGTCTTTGAATTGGTTCTGAGGCATTAAACACAGAGTATGAATTTAAATACACATTATTAGTAGTTACAAACGTTTTCAGTTACCTTATTTTTTATTAGAGGAATAAAATTTTTCCTCACTGTCCACTTAAAATAGTTTTCATTAACTTAACCAAAAGTTAAGAAATGTAAAACAGAGCTTAAAATTCCTAATCTAATGAAATATATTGAGATTTTTCTCAGTTCTAGGTGCTAAAAAATTAAATATGTTTTTGCTTTAAATAGTTAATGCCACTTACTATGGTTTCTGTTTTGATGCTTAGAGATGGAAATTAACATGGGAAAACTGGCTAATCTATCGCATGTGTTTGGTGATGCTGCTTCTACCTTTAGGGTAAACTGAAGTCTGACTGAATGGTACTCCGGAGCTTTGCGTGTCCTTTTGAAACTAATATATAGTTGCATACGTGAAAAATCTTTATTATAAATCAAGGACTACCAGTAAAAATGATAAATACCTGTATTTCTTCATTGAAGATGTATCACCATATGACCTCATTCACATAGACATGTTTGCTTGAGACAATTTTTAAATATTAATGCACAGCCACACCTTATTTGATCATACCTACTTGGTATTACCAAGTTCACCACCTTAAATTCAGTGATTCAGGGAATAAGATAGCCAAATCTCCCCCAAAATTAAGTTAAATATCTTATGGCAAGTTAACCTAATAATGGACAAAAACTAAATCACAAACCATTTTCCAAATTTTCCCAGTTACTAGTATTTAATAATAGTAATAATATACATGTTGGTTGTTTCATGACCTGAAGACAAATAACTCTAAATGATATGCATTTCAAGCTTTCTCTAACGCGCCTATTTGTAATGAGGCCATACTAACGGTCACACTTAGCAACAGTAGCCAGATTCTAAAAGCTCACCATTCTTTGCTGAGACGACAGAACGCTATCCCAGTCCGCATCCTGTTGAATGGTACTGACAAGTGTTGGGAGCTCCTCAGAGTGAGGTTTGTTGTGCATTATGGGGTGCAGAGACAGGTGGGAGGCCACATGTTGATCACCGCCCTCTTCCTTTTCCCTGGAGGTCAAATCCTGGGTTATCGCTTCCTCTCCATCAGCTGCACAGGCAAATGGAGAGGTGGCTTGTTTGGAAGACATTCTTCTGCAGAAGAAGGAAACAGCATGGATTAAAAAGGGCTGTCAATGACAAAAGAATACACTATTCTTTACATTTGACTAATTCGGTAAAAAAAGAAAGCCTAACTTCAGAGATGTTTATGATATAAACTAAAGCACTGAAAAAGTCTGCTCAGCTTATCTGTTCCATTTTCCCTCTTTGCACTTATTTCAGCAAACCTTCTCAGTAATGGATGCTTATCTTCTACGAATCCACAAATGAAATTTTTATGGAATACATTTTCATAATGTATAGTATATACATGTGTATATTTTTCTTCCCAGTTCTCCCAACTTTTTGAGAGTAATTCAGTGGCTGGCTAGCAAAGAAAAAAAAAAAAAATGAATTAACTGGCAAATGAGCCCATTTGGAGGATGATTCAAAAGTACAAATATTCAAATTTATCTCCTGTTCTATGTAGAAACTAAAGAAATTTATGTAAGAAAACATGACCAGGAGAGTAAGTTATCTATGATGAAAGTCTTAAGCAAATTAGATCCTGTGTTCTTCGTTTATACCTTGTATTATGAGTGCGAGGCCTAACACTGTTCAGTGCTAATCTGATCCTTTTCTAAAGACTTTCAAGGTTCTTCAACTGTCATAACTTTTAAGTGGCATATTGATTGTCTGGCTGATAATGTTAGATTAGTATTAAGGCAATTTTGCAACATTTGAATAGACTACATTAAACAGCCTCTGTTTTATATTAGAAAATACATACAAGATTCAAAGCATTTATTATGAAAATAGTAAAATGCCTACTAAGCAAATATTTTTAAAACTCCAAAAACAATTACTGAACATTCATCTATGTATCCACAAGTAAACATGAACTGAATTCAGTGCAAGGTCTCCATTCTGTACTTTCATATACATACAGAAAATCATGATTATTAAACATAATTTTAATATTTTAGAATATCACATTGTCAAGATGAGTTTCTTAGCAAAATGTTTACAAATAAAACCACCAAAAGTTTATAACTTAAAAGAAGATGCAATTGAGTTTTTTTTCTAAAACTTTACATTGTTTTTAGTTTATAACATCTGTAGCTCTAAAATTGCTGTGTAATGAAAGGAATAAAATCTCCACCGTAATTGCTCTTTAACATTAATTGATTTCATACCATTTTTTTAAAAATGCACAAATCAGTTAACATAGGAAACCACATGAGCATTTTTCAAATTAGCAAATCATTAACTTGCTAGTACTGTTTCTACAGACAAATAAATACTGATTAAAGGGTCTAGAAATCTGAGATTAACAGTTAAATTTACAAATCTGTCACATGCTTTCATGAATATTGCAGTGAAGGAAATATCAAGTGCAAAGAAAAATAATTAAGTTAATTCCAATTTAAACAGTAGTTTTTATGTAGCAGCCCATGTTTCACATAGGATTTAACAGCTAATGCTAAATTTCTCACAATTAATGAGGGGGCTCAGATTTAGTATCCTACAGTGAAAAAAAATTAATATAAGATCAGCTAATCTAATTATGCACAGCTCTAAATAAAAGTATTACAGGCTTTTGAAGTGCTTTGAAACATGTTTAAATGTTGATACCTACGTGTAATAATCATTCTACAAATAGGAAAAAGTTCATCTGTTAGACTTGATACTAGAAAATACAATGGGGGAAAGGAAGTACAGAAGAACATCTATATTTTCTTGGAGGAGACAGAAATGAAATGTTCTGAAGAGTGCTAAATCAAAGAACCAGATAAGAGTATTTTTGATAAATTTCTATTAATCCAAAAAAAATGGACAAATGTATATACACATGGAAAATGACACCAAAGGATGTATCTTAGTATACAAGGATCACTATAAATACTATAGTAAAACCAGCAAATTTTAACTGTTTCACAAGTTTACCAAAAGCTTGCCATAAACAAGAGTGTTTTCACAGTTTAGACAATGACAGTACCAATAAATGTAATCATTCACATTAAAAACAAAAGAATGAATTTACTGCTGCTTTTTAAAACAGCTAAATACAATTGAAAGGCATAATCCAAAACTCTGACTTTAGCTCCTCAACAAACATCCTCTTATTACAAAGTGACTTGGCTCCTTCCAATAGCAAGATCTGTGATTGTTGCTTCAGTATAAATTAATCATGACACAAAACCCAAAATGAGAAGTCTCTTAAGAATAATTTCAACGACAACTGCACCAATGAACAATAGTGCACAATCCTAATTAAACACAACTACGCAGCTGTAAAAATAGACTAAATCTGTCCAAAACTATGAGTTGAGTTTAAAGGCTGGTTTAATAAAAGTGTTTTCTTAAGGAAGGCTGGGCCCTCAGTCTTAATCAGCCAATAAATTATTTCCTGCAATTACATTAAATAGAAAATTATCTTCAAATGGGGAGTGTTAATTGAAAATCAAAATTCAGAGGGAAGTTTAGAAATTACACGCTGAATACAATTAGTGAGGAAAGGCTTCACCTCTACTTCATCAACAGTCTTCTGGTGATTCCTCCAGTGACCGTTCAGGAAAGTTACCTATTTATAACCTCACACAATTCGTCTTTTATTTTGCACCTACAAATACAAGTGTCTATCAAGGTTGCAAATAAAAGATAGGCTGCCAAAAAAAAATCAGTATTAAACCTGACTGTTCATCCTCAGTTCACACCATTGTTAGGGGACATGGAGAGGGGGAAGGTGGGACAATAATGGTTAACAACCAAGAGAGGCATAATCAACTTCGAAATCTCTCCTTTTTGCAAAGTAATTAACATTTATTTTCCAAGAAGAATACTTTACCATATCATATTTTATTTAATTTCTTGTGTTTACTCTACTATAGTTCTCAATATGTTGTTAGCAGAGAAAAAGGTGATGTTTGTTCTCTTAGCTAAGTATTACTCCACTGCAGGCATTTCCTTTTGATAAAATTATTGGGCTTGTTTCAGATTTGTTTTTTTATTGTTAGTTTTGTTGTATTTTTAAAAGGAGAAATGTGCACAAATTATTTTAATGCATCGTTTATTAAATAAGTCTTAGATTTACTGATTATTAGATTCAGTTTACTGATTATTTTTGCACACTTTATTAAAGAATCTTTAATTTACTGATTACATCTTCATTCATTTTATTTCTTTAGCTTTCCATTTTAAGACATTTTACTAGGCCAACTAAACTGTATTCTAAAAGCTGCAAAGATATTTGACTTTTGATAATGTCTTTACCTTAACCACTGCACCACGGCTACTCTCCTTTAGAACTCATAAATCAAATACACATTCGTTAAAATTTTTTAAATGCCATGTGGGATGCTTACTTTTATTTTGAATGCTAATATCAGTAATTTTCTATTAGAAAAACTTTCACCCCAGTGTATTAGGACAGTATCTGGCTTTAGCTGCTGCCATATACAATTTGTGAGCAAAAGAATCAAAATCCTTGTGAAATGGTCAATTTCTATGTGACTTTACTTTGTTTTATTTTTGCACTATTATAACTTAAAAATCATTCAAATGAATTGTTTTTTTAATTTGTATTAAAAAAATATCTCCCTAGTTATGCCCCCTGAAAACAGGGGTTTATAATGGAAGTGCTGACACAACCCTAACTAAAGCAGCGCAAATGTTGCTGCTATAATACACAAAATCAAGTTCTATTATTCTAAACTATCCTCGCTCATGGGATTTTTCTTTACTGTGCTCCCAGTCAAACTGCTGAAGCATGAAAAATTTAAATGCAATCAAATGTGCCCAATTCTACTTTACTAGAACAAGTGTCTACAGTGGTACAATCTTAAAAGGAGATGCAACAGATTTGTTTGGTGTTTTTTTTTAACTGTTTATTTATAATACAGTGCATTGGAGATAAAATAAAAGAGGAAATTACACTCACATGGTACCAGTGTATTGACTACACAGAGTACATTATAATCAGAGAGAAAAACTACATTGTCAACTTATCACATTGGTTAAACACGACGGTTTTCTGGGGCATAGCTATTATCAAGTAAAACCTCCAAAGAGAATTGCGTATCTTTGGGACACATGAAACTTAATTCCCATGATGTGTTCCCCGAGTCTGAAATGTCTATGCCCAGAGAGCAAGTGAATTCCCAGGATGCCAAGCCACTGGGAAGATGTTCAGGGCTTAAGACTTTGGGGAATGATATTGTCAAAGACAAAGTCTCCAGTAATTGATAATGTTTTCTAGGAAGTCAATAGGAGTACCTCTAGAAAGATGATAGTTATTCCGCTCTAAAACCCTAGTATAAAATCTGCATGTTTAGGTCATTACAAACCTACTCAGACAGTAAATTTACTTTATGTTCTTTAACAAGAAATCAAGATTAGCTGGTCCACAACTTTATAAAATGGTAAGGACACGGACAGCCACATATTAACTCCTCTATCAGAAAATCATATTTTCCAGAATTTTAAGCCTTTCTGATGATGTTATTTTTTATAAAACAGTTATTTGTATGTTTAAAACAGAATTATTTTTAAGCAACTTTCTCATAAGACACAGCCACTTGAAATTATTTTTTCTTTTAATACTATTGTTTGGAAATAATCCATCTCAAAACTTCATTTGGGACTTACATAATTATCCAAAGAGGCCACTGAATTTATTAGAACAATATTTTTAACCTGTTTTTTCTTAATAATGTTTTCATTACTTCTAAGATTCTATCAAATGGCATTCACTTTTTAGGAGTATTACATTTATTCAAAAGAAGCCCTGTTTTTAACATAAAGCTACATTTTAATAGTTAGTTTACTTAAAGAAAAAATTTTTTTAAATCAGGCCAATATTTACATTTATTTTTGCAGCTCAGCCCCAGGCTAGCAAGGTAAGATTTATTTCAGTCAGCTAATTCACTGTTAATTTAATGCTGCAATTGATCTGATACTGGGAAATAAACAACTAATTTCCAAAACTGTAACACAGTGCCTCTCATTTTAAGGAGCATGAGTAACATAAATGTTCAGCTGCCAAAATGCACAAT